AGAATGGCAGATGCTGTGTGCTTAATTTGCTTCTTTACAAGGCCTTGTGCTATAAGGTCTAGTCCTGCACTCACTTTCTTGCCCTACTGCTTGGTGGTTGGAACCTGTCACTGTGTTGTATTATTCAAGGTTGGGAGGGGGTGGTAGAGGCAGCTCCTAGTGCACTTCGTCGATGCTAATCCAGAGGCTCAGTCTTGGAGTACTGCCTTGGGGGTGGGTTGGGAGTAGGGAGACTCTGCTTGATATTTGCCTTCACTGTGATGAGCTTGGTACTGACCCTGGACTTAATCCCTCTCCCTCCTCCAAGCCAGAGAGATCTCTCTCCATGCTGTACTACTTATATGGGGGGGGGGGGATTGACACAGGCAACTCTGTCCTTCCCTTAATAAGAAGTGAGTTTTTCAGTCTTTTTCAGTTCAGAGCCAGTGCTAGCAGAAAACAATAACTGTAACTATGACACTGTAATTCTAGGAGTGAAAACAATGTCTAATTTTGATTTTGTCTTGTTGTCCACTCAGTTGTAGATAATGAAATGATGGTTTCTTGGAAAAGGAGTTCACTTTTCTTTGAGATTTTCATGTAAGCAAAATTCAAGATCTGGAAAAATCTCTTTGATATTACTGTAATAATGTTAGAGATGATTTAGGACATTTTTCTTAAGAGATGCACATTAAAATGACAGAGCAATGGTCAGTGGCATTAATATTTTAATGCAGTTTTGTTCTGTGTTGTTAAAGCATCCACTGATCAGTGGCCAAGTTTCAAATGTATATTGTCACCAAATGAGCCCTACATATAGTAAGTAGATACTCCATTAGGACTGGTGAGTCAATGAGTTTTTAATGAAGGTTTGCCTCTGGCTGAAGAAAATGATTTTTCTGTCATTACTGGTTAGTGATCTGCCAGGATTTTTCAAAAAATATAAATAAAAATGTTTTTGTCCTTGAGCATTGATAGGTGTTATTTTTGTAAGCTTCCAATGCATGAAAGAGGCAGAGAGGAAAATGGGTCATTCTTTCTGAAGGGATGGGATGTTCTTCTTTGGAAGATGCATATTTGAGCCAAGCTCGAGGTGATGAAAGGGTTATCACTGATCCGAATGTAGAGGAAGGGGCACTGGCCGGCTAAGGCAGCAATGCACAGATATGTGTTGGCATAGTATGTGTTGTGTCAGAGATGTAGCACTGTACATGACTGTGATAGACTGTAGGGTATAGGGAGAGATTTGGAGACTAGAAAGGCACTCATGAAATCACTCGGAGAAAGCCTTCTGTGCCTTTATCCCATAGGCAGTGAGAAGCCATCAAAAATCTTTGTGTAGCTAGATGGCGTGTTCAGATGTGAGTTTTGGTAAAGTCTCTCTCAAAGCAGTTTAGAAGATGAAAGGTAAACTGAAGACAGCAGGGAGGCCAGTTAAAAAGCCATTGCATAGTCCAGGAAATGGTTACAGGCAGTTATGAGACACCAAGGGAGGCTGTAAGAATCTACTTATGGGGGGTAAATGAAACAACTGGTCTCCTGTTGTCCATTCACTGCCAGGCACTATCACTCATGAATTTTGGTGGTTGTAATAAAGTCTTGGGTAGTCAAGCACCTTGGAAGTCAGTAGCTTCACACTGAGCATGCTGTAATCATTCAGTAATTACAGCCAATTGACCTGATTGGGTTCTGGGACTGATCTTGTGCTGTACTGAGAATTAGGGTCCTATAGTTAACCCAAGATGGAACATAGAGATTAGCTCATTTTACCACCTAACTTCATATTAGGAAAGTGAGACCAAGAGAGTATGACAATAGAAGATGAGTGTATGAGTGTACTTCAAAAGATTCATGGAAATGGAAGTAAAAGCTAGGTTTATTTTGAAAAATATGTTTGAAATCTATGTGTGGCTGGCGCCGCAGCTCACTAGGCTAATCCTCCGCCTGTGGCGCCAGCACACTGGGTTCTAGTCCCAGTCGGGGCACCGGATTCTGTCCTGGTTGCTCCTCTTCCTGTCCAGCTCTCTGCTGTGGCCCGGGAGTGCAGTGGAGGATGGCCCAAGTGCTTGGGCCCTACACCTGCATGGGAGACCAGGAGAAGCACCTGGCTCCTGGCTTCGGATCAGCGCGGTGCGCCGGCCGCAGTACGCCAGCCACAGCAGCCACTTTGGGGGTGAACCAACGGTAAAGGAAGACCTTTCTGTCTGTCTGTCTCTCTCACTGTCCACTCTGCCTGTACTAGAAAGAAAAGAGAAATAGAAAAGGAGGAGGAATCTATGTGTATTGTTTCCATAATACCCATGTCCCATAAATGTTTTGAAGTCCTGTCATATTTTCTGCCCTAAACTTACCACTAATAGGCTGTTTCAAAGTGTGTGTCTAGAAATTGCTTATTTGGAACATAGTATTCTCCAGAAACAGGAGGAATTTGCTTGATAGGGTGGCCCTTAGCACTTCAGAGGCAATCTTTGCTCCATCTTGTGAGGCAGGAGAATTAACTTCAAGGAATGAAAAAGTGGCTGTAGTTTCAGCTGAGGGAGCCCAGTTGCCACAGGGCATCACTTGGCACATTTGTGAAGTATTTCAGGTTTCATGGTGCTGTGGCAGCTCTTGAAGGAGCTAGTCTCTTCTAGAGTACCCAGAGGTATGAGAGCAGCTCTTACGGTTAAAAGAGCATCAGACTTGCATCAAAAGATCCACGTGGGTGCAAATCCCAGCATTATCTGAATTCAAGACTTTTTCTGCTTGTTACCGTCCCATGCTGCCTTTCCAGATGTCTAACACAGTAGATACTCAGTAGCATCATTGTCTACATGTCTTGAGGGTAGATTCTCTTGTTTTGGTGTTCAGAGTGGCAAGTAATAGTTGTCTAACACATGAAGAATCTGGACAGCCAGCCACCCAGATCATTCATGGCTTCTATCACCCTGGTGATGGCCATGGTGCATTTGATGCATCTAGCTAGCCAGGCCGGGCCTCCCCACCTGCCTGTATGTTTAGTGTACCTTCCTAAAACTGTGTTTTGTGTCAGAGAGGATTGCCTTCTCTGCCCTACCATGATTCCAAACAAGTGAGATCATACCTTTTGGACATGAGGTGCTTTCTTTACAGTATGAGAAAAACCACACGGAGTTCTTTGCTCTAGGGAGTTTTGTCATCTCCTTCACGGATAATCCTACCTTTCTGCTCTCCTACATTATCCCCTTGTTCCTCTACTACACATACTCCCAGAATTACTTTCTGCATTTAAAACCAAACAATGAAGTAATGTATGTACTATGGTATAGGATAACGAATGTTACAGAAAAAAAAAAAAAACACTAGAAAAAGGTAAAGGAATTAAATTAGGAATACTGAAGTGTGGTGGGAATTGGGTTGTTAATTTAAATAGGGTGGCCAAGCGAGACCTCACTGAGAAAGTGAGATTTGATGTGAATCTGAAGGAGAAGAGGGAGCTCACCATAGTGGAAAGGAAACCTCCAGTGGCCAGGCCTTGAGGTGGGAGTGTCAGGGGAGGGAGGGGAAGAAAAGAGGGTTGGCTGGAGCACCGACCGAGATTGGGAGTGGGCCGTGAGTTCAACGAGGGAACGGGGTGGGGATATGTGAAGCACTGCTTCTCTATCTGCTAGTTACAAAGAACTGTTTTGTAATATATATTACAAAATGATATATTTGTAGGTTTTAATCATAATGAAATCTTTAAAAAATATAGTAAAAACCTTACCAAATTAGTATAAAAGTTTCTAATTGCTTTTCTACTTTGTTGGTTACTGATTTCATCGTAGACTAGTTTCCCACATCATGTGCTAGCACCAGTCCTGGGTCCACACTGAGTTGCACTGTGGAACTTGGCCTTTACTCAGGCAGAATGGGAGAACCCTTGTGGCATTGGAGTAGAGTGCTGGGAGCCAAAAGAAAGAAGGGACAAGACCACTTGTGAGACTTGAGTTTATAGGCAGGAGATATGGTGATTGATGCCAGAATGGTAGCGTTAGAAAAGGTGGAGAGCAGTTGGTTCCGCATGTATTTCTACGGTAGAGCCCATAGAATTTCTTGGATTAGATGGTTGAGTTAAAGGAGAGTCAAGTCAAGGATGACTCCAAAATGTCACTTGGATAACTGAGAAGATAAGTTACTATCAACTGACAGTGGGAAGGTTCCAACTGAGGGTGGAACAAGTTACAGACCAAATCAAGGATGGTTTTGTATGTTTTTAATTAGATTTTGTGCATTGGAGATGGAGACCTATTCAAGTGCAAAGTGTTTTAACATCAAGTTGTTGCTTAAAGAACTGTATCATAAAGTAGACTCTTAGGGCCAGGGAGAAGCCCAAAGACTTCTTTAACTATTTTCTCTCACCTAGGATCTTTATCATTCAAAGCTGGAAATAATTATTGTATTTGAATGCGTTTGAGAAAATTAAGAGCCTTTATCATTGATTGCACTCTAACATTAAACTATCCCCTACTTGGAAATAATTCCATACTTTTTACCTTAGTTACAAGTAAAAGAATTGTCTCCTAATTGTAAAGATACCAAGTTTAAATAACCCTAAATCCCACGAGGCAGCTACAGAACTGATCAGGATTTAAGAGCAATCTGGCTGAATCATCTGCCACACATTTGATTGCCAGGATTAATTTGGCATCTCTGATTGTCAGTAGTTACAGAATTCTTCATTACTAAACCTTAGTAGTACCAAAAACACAACAGCTCTTGTTATTTTAATGTTTAGTGAAAAAAAGGTAAAATACAAAAGTATATAGAGAACATGAGCCCTGTGCTTTAAAATAAATATATAATGCATGTGTGTTCTCCATATAACAAAGACTAGAGGAAAGTAAATTAATATATTACCTATGATTATTTGACTAGAAAGATCATCAGTGGTTTCTTCTCTGTTGTGCTTTTTGGTGTATAATAAAAACAAGTTTTACTCTAAAAATTGGCAATAATAGTAACTGTTAAAGAAAATGAGCCCAGCAGCCACGTGATCCTTTCCCTCTCTCTGGTCTCCACAGCTCACCATCTGCTACCTGGATATGCTGATGACCAGTGAGGAGCGCCGGAAGCAGCTGAGGGACCAATACTGCTTTGAGTGTGACTGTTTCCGATGCGAAACCCAGGACAAGGTATTTTGTTGGGAACCAAACTGGAACACTTCACACGCATTAGTTCGGTTATCTTTCAGAGAACTCTGCTTTAATTTCATGAATCCAAAAGTGAATGATTCTCAGATAGGACCTTGAGGCATGAGAGGAAACAAAGGCAAGTAAAATAAAACATTGAGCTGCATACAGTTTATTTCCTGGAACTTTTGTTGTATCTTTTTTTATTTTTTTGAAATTTATTCCACTAGTCTGGCCATTGTAGCACTTTATCAAATGGAGATAATACAACCTGCCATTTTTATGTCTGTGAAAGAAAGAGCCAGAACAAATGCCATAATGAGTAACTTTATTCAGAATACTCATGTTCTTTCTCATTTTGAGCTTATTTACTTTCAATTTAAAGACTGTGAGGTTATCTGAAAAAATCTTCCTTGCATTGACTGTTTATATTGTTAGAATTCTTTTGTCGCCTTTGATCTCAATAATTATAAATAAATTAGTAAACAGAACTCAGAAAGGTTCAGAGATATGTCTTTGGGATGGGATGAAGGAAGAAGTGGCAGAATCAAGTATCACACACAAATCTTATGAATGAATCTAATGTTTTTTCACAATCCCACAGTTATCTGTGATTTGTGGAGAAAAGGTAGTTATTCTCACTGCGTGGGAAAGGATTGTGAACTCATCCTAATCCTGCCAGTCATTGAACATGACTAGTTTTGCATTTAAAGAGAAACACTTTTGGAAAGGGTTGAATTAAATGAGAAAATTTAATCAACTACTAGTAGCTCCCCGAACTTCAATCCACTTTTCGTGTTAGCCTTTTGCCACTAGTAAATATGCCAGAAGTAGACAGATGCCCTTGGAATTCCTCCCTAGGATCTGATCTTGAATGGCAGCAAGCTAGCTTCCGTTCAGCAGCCTTGCTTGGGAACATTCCCATATTTAGTTGCTTGTAAATGTCATCAGTATGATAGACCTTCAAAAAATTCTTGAATGAATGAATGATTATATTTATTAAAATATGGGATCCTGTTCACTTCTGTTTTTATTACTACAGTTGAAATATGGGCTATAATAGTTTGTTAGGAAAGGGTTTGACTACAGCTAACAGATAACCCAACTGAAACCAGCTTTAGTAGATGAGATATATTTGACTTCAGAATTCTGGAGCGGTAATCCAAGATGAGAGCATCTACTATGGGAGATCTTAGTCATGGATCTGAAATCCTTCCATCTTTCTCCTTAAGCATCCATAGCATGTAGCTTTTGCCCTCATGGTCCCAGGATGACATCTGCCCCTGCGCTTTCCCAGTCATTGTATCCAAGCTCTAGCCAGAAAAAGAAAGGATAATAGCAAAAGAGCAAAGGGAAGTCCTCCTAGAGATATCTACCCACATGTTGTTGTTCCAAACTGTGTCATATGGCCACCTTTAGCTATAAAAGAGACTAGGAAATGATTTCAGCTTTTCAGCCTTGATGAAAGAGGGAAAAGAAGAATGTGAATGGCTTTTGGGGAGCCAAATCACAATGTCTGCAATACCCATAGAGGCTGTTTTCTGTACTCCCTTGAGCTGGAAGTTTGTTGAACATTGTAGTAGTGAGGGTTATCCAGAAAAACAGAACCAACAGGATACACACAGACACATACACACATACACACACAGATTGACTGATGGAAAGGGAATTGGCTCACATGATTTTGGAGGTTGAAAGCTCCTAAGATCTGTAGCTGGCCAACTGGAGACCCCAAGAGAGCTGATAGTATAGTTCCAGGCCAAGTGTGATGGCCTGAGAACCAAAAGAACTTACTTGGTATAAGTTTTAGTCCAAGAACTGGAAGTCTCAAGACCCAAGAATAAATGTTTCAATTTGAGTACAAAATAGGAAATGACCAGTTAGGAGGAGGTCCCTTTTATGAGTGGGAGGGTCAGCTTTTTTATTCTATTGTGGTCCTCAACTGACAGGACGAAGGCCACCCACGTCAAGGAGCTCAGTCTCCTTTACTCAGTCTGTGGGTCCAAATGTCAATTTCATCCAGGAATACCCTCACAGACATACTTTGACTAAAAATCTGGGCACCCTGTTGCCCAGTCACATTGACGCCTGACATTGATCATTATAACCGTTGTCTTAGAGAAAGGCCTAATAGTACATTCGGAAAAGTGGTGGATTACTCTGCTGGGTTCTCGTCCATTCAGAGTCTAACAAACTGAGTGGTCTCAGGAAAGTCATTTACCCTCTGGATGTGTTTCATTATTTGTGATATAAGGGAAATTGACTCTGTGGTCATGTTCAGCTTCTTCCAGCTCTAATATCCCTTGTTTCTATGAAATATCCCCTAGTGACAACAAGTAAGTTATATGCTTAGATGAGACTGTACCTTGATTTGCAATTAGTTCATCAGTTATATTTTCAAGTCTCATTCACCTGGGAATTTTACTCTGTTCAGTGGTATAAGCTTCCCTTCTGAAACCTCTATTGCTGATTTACTTACAAAAACATAGTACAGAGGTAAATTCAGCTTACTGCGTTTCTAAAAGATCATACATTCAAAATTAGTTCAATCAGGATTAATTTTACTTCAGTTTCTAGTTTTAAGTTTTCAGGCTTATTCTTCTGCTTTTCTTGGAACCTAGAAAACTGATCTAACCAAGTTTCTGGATCAGGCAGTATTTATTACTTGCCTACATCTGCATATTACTGGACTTGCCTGGTATCATGTTTCAGTAAAGCAGGAACTCTTTTAATAGCTGGTATAATTTGCATGTGTGGAGTTGTCATTTGTAATCTGCAGCTTAATTTCTGGAAGAAATAAAAATTAACATCTAAGGGAGGTTTGGGATTGATTTAGATTGTCCTCTGGCTTACCCAGGTCAGAATCCAAGGTAGAAGAAGCAGAACAGAACAAATGGAATTGATTGTTTCCATACGTTTATGAATAGTGCATAACATACTTCATTGGATGCCACATGCTTTGTTGTAAAAAAAAAAGTCTGTTTACTGGCTATGTCACTTTGTCTTTCCTAAAGTCTGTTATATTTAGTTCTTGTTTTTAAACATCATGTATGTGATCTAATCAAAGCCCTATTGCTTCCCTCCTAGATTACTGAGATAGCTCTCTATTGTTCATATGGCCCTCAGTTTCTTTCCTTTCATCCATTGTACATACCATTATAGAGTAAACGTTCTCAAAAACAGCTGTTTCCTTGTTGTTAGTTTGCTCAGCATTAAATGTTATCTTTAATATTCAGGATAAACTTCACATTCATAGTGTTTAAAATTCATAATCCCAAGATCTAACCTACCTTTGTTTTATTTATTTCCTTTATCAAAATTGCTAACTTCCTTTGTCTGATTATACCTTTTCTCCCACCCAAAATATTATGAAATAGCTTTCAGATGCACTTTTACATGTGCATACACAAACCACACATAGACACATAGGTATGTAACAAATACAATAGAGCAGCAATCATTTTTTTACTTGAGAAATAAGAGTGACAAGCACTAACATGAAAGTAGGTTAGTACCCAGAGTGCATGCTCTGTGATCTTTTACGTAGTGGCTAGAAATAAATCGCAGATTTAAGCTAAATTTCCCAGCAGCCAAAGCTGAAAGACTAATTTCAGAATTCACAGTATCTGTGAGATTGAACACATGCGTGCGCCTCAGCTGAAGCACAGCGTCTCCTCGCACGGAGGCAAGAGGCACTCACAGCACCTTCTATGCAGACTTCGACAGTGACTGAAAGAGCTGGTATTTATAGCATTGCTCAGTGTGGCTGATTGACGTGACCTCAGATTGTAAGTTAATATCGGAAGTAAGAAAAAGGGGAAAACAACAGAGATCGGATCTCTGTTGATTTGCTTCATTCTGAGAATAAAATCAAGTCTAGAGGGAAGCAAGGGCAGCGGGGCCTGCAGGCCCTTCTTCATTCGTGTGATTTGTTACAAACGGGCTTTTCCTTCCCTTCCCATTTTTAACTTTCATTGAAGTGACACATGTATATGGTTTGAACAGTTGGGAACTTTAGGACTCTTTCTTTCTTGTGCTCCTGTCCAAATTCTATTACTCCGACCTCCCTAACTCAGGGCTACAGATGTTTTTTGCTACTGGATTATTATTTTACTTAGAATTACTTATGGGGGACGGAGCGAGACGGGGAGGGGGAGGGGAGATGGGAGAGAATCTTCCATCCACTGATTCGGTCCCCAGGTAGTCCCAATGGCCAGGGCTAGGCCATGCCAAAGCCAGGAGTCAAGTGCTTCATCTGGGTCTCCTTCATGGGGCAGGGGCCCAAACACTTTGGCCATCTTCCACTACTTTTCCCATGCTGGTAGCAGGGAGCCAGACTAGAAGTGGAGCAGCTGGAACCTGAACTGGCACTCATATGGGATGCTAGCATTGCAGGCAGTGGCTTCACCCACTATACCACAATGCAGGCCTCCAGGTTGTTTTTAAAGCTATTTTTTGTTTTCCAAGATTTAAAATTTCATTTTTTCCCACATCTCCCAATTTGAGTTTTATTTCTGCCTGTTTTGTTTTTATAACATCTTTTTTACCTCTAATGCACGCTGTTGTTAGTTATCTATTTGAGCATTCTAATCATACTACTGTTAAATCTTAGTCATTTCCATGAAGTTTGTTTTGCTGAAGAGAAATCTTATGATTGATTTTTGTTGCTTATCTTCCTTACCATTGCATTTCACTGTTTTTGTTTTTCTATTTATTAGAAAGGCAGTGAGAACAAGAATGAGAGTGAGAGCAAGAGAGAGAAAGAGAGAGAGAAAGAGAGAGAGAGAGAGAGAGAGAGAGAGCACACCACTATCATTCATGGTTCACTCTCCAAATACCTGTAACAGCCAGGGTTGGGAAAGGCCAACACTGGGAATCTGGAACTCAGTCAGTATTTCCTGTGTGGGTGGCAGTGACCCAACTACTTGAGCCTTCACCTGGTACCTCCTAGGGTGTACCTTAATGGGGAAACTGAAACTGGGAGCCAGTACTTGAACCTTAAC